TTCTTGGTGGTAGAGGGCACACTGGTGGCTAACACAGCTCTGGTCTCACAGTCATGGGAGCTTATATTCTAATGAGATAGACGTTGACTAAGCAATTGCACAGTGGTTGATTAACCACGAACATATTAACCAATTGGACAGTGGTTGATTAACTACATAACAGTAATATGCATGATGGATCATTACAGGATGTCATGGGAAAATAAAGCGAGGAGTGGGGTGGAAGCTGACCTAGCCTGGGTGGTGGTGATGGTGGTGGGGGCGGGAAGGGGGCGGTCTGAAAAAGCCTGGTAGGGAACAGGGGACCTGAGAATGAGCAGGAATGAGCAGAGCACAGGGGCGAAGAGGAGCTCTTCACCTCCGCACTGTTTGAGGAGTACGGGAGGCTGGGCACAGAGAGGAAAGGGCAGGGTGGTGCCTGGTAAAGCAGCACTGTCTGTCTGTCTTGCTGCCTGCAGCAGCATGTCGTGGTTCCAGGACCTTGGAGTTGGGAGACCTGGGTTCCAGTGGCACCTCTAGCTTTGCGTCCCCAGAGGAGTTACTCCCGTGTTGTTGGGAACGCACGGTGCACACCTGGGTTTCAACTCCTCAGGGGAAGTCACTGGAGATTACTAACTTCCAGTGCGAAAATCCCATGATTATGTAAATTCTAGGTTCTGAGTCCTGCAGCAATGAGATGGAACCATCCTGTAAGGGTCTGTAGGGGTTGGAAGGGGAGAGAGTGCAGGGGGCCAAGTCAGACTGTGGGGTCTGAGGGTGTAAAAGGTGGTTCATCCTGTGACCAGGAGCAAGTTCTCTTCCTTTCTGGGCCTTGCAGCTGCACCGTCCCAAGCCCTACAATTGGGCTTCTCTTGTCCAGTCCTCACTCCTGCAGCTGAGTTCTAGTCCAGCTAGAAACTCTAGTCATGGAGGTTACTTGAGTTCTTTTCCTGGGGCCTCTTGGTCCCCTTGTAAATCAGAGGCTGAGGACAGAGACTTGATGGCAAAGGGAAGGGGGTGAGCAGAGGATCTGGACACAATTCCACCTCTGGCCTTATTAGTGAAGTGACTGGTAGATGCTGTGAAATGCACCCAGACTCCTCTTCAGGAATGAAGGACTTACTTGCCCAGGTCCTGGGAGTTCCGCCAGAGGTGGCTTTCAGCTGTCAGCCTTGGATTGCCTTACCTGAAAAAAAAAAATGGCCTGTCCCAAAGTCATACCTCTTTCCAAGGGCAGCCTGTGATCGGGGACTGATCCAAGCCAGGGTATAAAGGCCTGGTTCCCTCTACCCAACTTGAGACAACTCCAAAGGGTCAGCTTAGCTCCAAAACTCCTCAGGGTTGACTGAGACCTTCTTTAAGACGGCATCGCAGCTCAATGTTTCCCGTCTTTTCCTGGCAGTCCTGCACATGGAGCTTTGTCTCAGGTTCTGCTTCTCTGGGAACCTCACCTGCAACCGTGCTCTTCAACAAGCCCTTTTGTGCCTCAGTTTCCTCATTTGTAACACGGGGATAATAATGACCACACTTTAGGCTGTTGTAAGGATTTAGAAAACAAATTCCTGGTGATGGGATCATTTGTAAGGTTATCTGTGTTTTGTCATGACTTGGAGAATCTTACCAGCATTGAGTGACAATCAAAAATGTTTCCAGATGTGGCCACATGACCCTGGGGAGGACGGTGAGTCAGAATCACCCCTGGTGGAGAATTAGTGGTTTTAAAAAGGGAGAGGGGGTAGGCATAGTGGCTTACTTCTATAGTCCTAATGTTTTGTGAGGCAGAGGCAGGAGGATCACTTGAGGCCAGGAGTTCAAGACAACCAGCCTGGGCAACACAGTGAGACCCCATCTCTACAAAAAATTAAAAAATTAGCTGGACGTGGTGGCTCGTGCCTATAGTCCCAGCTACTAGGGAGGCTGAGGTGGGAGGACTGCTTGAACCCAGGAGGTTAAGGCTGCAGTGAATCATGATCATCATGCCACTGCACTCCAGCCTGGGTGACAGAGCAAGACTCTGTCTCTTAAGAAAATATTTAAAGAAGAAAAGGGAGTGGGAAAATTCATTTATCCATTTCCCTTGGGGATTACACATCAGGGCACAAACACCACTGCATACTTCCCAGCCTCCCTGAGGCTGCGGCCTGGCCATCACTTCCTTCATTAGACAGGACTGAGCAGTCACTGCTGTCTCTCCCTGGAGAGGAGGGACTGGAAGCCATTGTTCCTTTCCAGGAGAACCTGGGCTTCTAATTTCATCTCGTGGGTAAACTGTATTGGGCACAGGACAAAGCTCTCAGTTAGTACAAGCGATGGTCCAGGTGAGGGCTCATTTGGTCTCATCACAAATCGCCGCAGGGTCCTCTCAGCAGCAGGGAGCAGAACTGGGCTTCTGACCCCTGGTGGCTGTAGGTCCTCCTTTCCTGAATGATCAGTGAGGTGGTTCCCTAGCAACGGCACAGGCTCCTAGCAGCCCCAGGGCACATGAACCGCGGACAAAGGGCAGATGAGACAAAAGAGTCTCCCAGTGCTGTTGTGGGCATTGTGTCAGCGTTTACCCTGGGGAGCTTCTGGACGTGCTGTTGCCCCTTCTCTCTGGAGGACAGCAGCCTGGCAGCCCACCCCACTGGAGCCATTACTCAGAGCTCTGGGCTACAAAGGCCCAGAGAAAGGACCCTGGGGAGGAGGCTACATGGAGGCTACATTCATTCATTCATTCACTCACTGATTCATTCAATAGGTATACTTTGGTATCTCCACTGTATCTATCTATTGAGCCACTAATATGTGTATATCTCTGGGAATATTAAGTTGGTTGAGATATGGGTTGAATACGCTGTGCAACAGTGGGGAATTTAAAACAGTCCTTGACCTCCAGTAGTTTTTTTGTTTTGTTTTGTTCTGAGACAGAGTCTCACTCTGTTGCCCAGGCTGGAGTGCAGTGGCACAATCTCGGCTCATTGCAACCTCCGCCTCTGGGTTCAAGCAATTCTCCTGCCTCAGCCTCCGGAGTAGCTGGGATTACGGGCGCCTGCCAGCAAACCCGGCTAATTTTTATATTTTTATAGAGACGGGGGTTTCACCATGTTGGCTAGGCTGGTCTTGAACTCCTGACCTCAGGTGATTCGCCCACCTCGGCCTCCCAAAGTGCTGGGATTACAGGTGTGAGCCACTGCGCCCGGCCTTCAGTAGTTTTTCATTGGGTTGGGAGAGCCATCCACTCCCAGGAAAGCTAAGGACTAATAGGAATTTTCTGCAAAGCAGAAGCACGCGGGAGAAATTACCAGGCGCCTGTGATGGAGGAGGATGGAGCACGGGAGGAGCAGCCTTTATTGTGTGCTCAGGTGTGGGAGCCCCTTAGCACCTGTACGGCTTGGGAGGAACTGTAACTGACCGATTCCACAGACGAGGCATGTGGAGCTCCGAGAAGTGAAGAACATGCCCCAATACATTGCCTGTGCTGAAGACAAACAGGGCTTGATGATGTGAGGATTTGCCCCCCCTTTTCTGTTAGGACCCGCCTGGCTGCCTCCACTCTCTGACTTGCCTCCTATTTGCTGGCCTCACGTTTCCTCCTCCTCCACTTTTCTAGAAAATATGCTCTTTTAAGAACCAAGTCTGAAGTGAAGGCCATACTTGAACTTGGGGCTGGCTGGACCACTCAGGCCGCTCAAGGTGCTCTATCTCCCTACCACCTGCACTCTAAGAAAACACATAAAGGACCCGCTGGTTTGGGAGTCCTGGGTGGGGTTGGGTGGGGTTGGGTGAGGGTGTGTGAGTCAGCTTGGATAAAGAAAATTATCCAGGAAGGATGTACTTTGGGACACGGACTGCTGACCTCTTTTCTGACCCTCTTTGTTCCAGGAGGCTGTGCAGATCCCACACTTCCGCTGTTTCCAGGAGTCTGTGCTTTTTTTCCCCAAGGGGCTGGCCGGGAAGGGCTGCCTGGGAGACAGTGGCTGCTCACTCTTTCCATTTTTCTCTCCCGTGATCTCAAAGCCACTCATTAAGGGAACCATCCCCTGCTTGGGCAATTTCCTTCTGTGTAGAGAGTGAATGACATTTGTACTATTTGCTCATCTAATGCACCCGGCATGTCCTCCTTTCTGTTTAATTTGGGTCCCAACTAGGGAGTCCTGTACTGGCATCATTCAGGCAGTTGGGGGCCCTGGTCGCTGCATTTCTGGCAGCACAGGTCCCCCTCTACCTTGGATAACTGCCTGGCCCAGTTATCCATCGAGGGGATGATTCAAACGGCTGGAAAAATGCACAGAAAAAGATGTGAGCAGTGGTGAAGCTTGTCTTTATTAACCAGCGAGCAAACACATTTTAATTAAATTGCAAAGATACACATCTTTGGTTCCCTTTTGAAATCTAGGAGAAAGTATGCCAGGGAAGAAAATTTACACAGGGAGAATATTCAAATTAGAAGTATTTTCCAGTTTAGAATATCAGCGGGGGCAGGCAGGGGCTGGGGAGAAGAACAGGAGTGGTTATCTTGGAGTCCTCTGTGAAGTCCCTCACGAAGAAAAGACTTATACAAGAATTCTCGGCCGGGCGCGGTGGCTCACGCGTGTAATCCCAGCACTTTGGGAGGCCAGGGTGGGCGGATCACGAGGTCAGGAGATCGAGACCATCCTGGCTAACACGGTGAAACCCCGTCTCTACTAAACGAAATATAAAAAAATTAGCTGGGCGTGGTGTCGGGCGCCTGTAGTCCCTGCTACTTGGGAAGCTGAGGCAGGAGAATGGTGTGAACCCGGGAGGCAGAGCTTGCAGTGAGCCTGAGATCGCGCCACTGCACTCCAGCCTGGGCGAGAGAGCGAGACTCTGTCTCAAAACAAACAAATAGCAACAAAAAAAGAATTCTCACCTCCCAGGGTTATGTCTATTTGAAACTTGGAATAATTGCCTCAGTTGGCTGATCTTCCCCTGAAGGAGAAATTATAAAAATTAAGATGGGGAGGGATGCTGGAAATATTCTGGCTACTGCAGTAACTGGATGGCTATCTGCTTTTCTGCAGGCCCTTAACGTAAAAGCCGTGCTCCAAGTCCTCTCCTGACTTCTAGTCACTTCCATGCTGCCAGCAGAGGGCATGGGATTCTTCCTGAGGAGCCTGAGTCTCAGCTTTGCCGGGTCCTTGCTGTGTGACCTTGGGTAAGTTACATAACCTCTCTGAGCCTCAGTTTTCTCAGCCATAAAACAGAGACAATAGCTCTACCTTTCAGGATTGTGGTGAGAAGTAAATAAGACTATGCAGAAGGCCTTTCTTCCCCTTCCTCCTCTTCCACCTGGGGGCCCTGCTGTTCCTTTCTCAAGCTGTCCCTCCTCCCAGCAGCTTTCTGATTCTGCGTGCACTCCTGGGGGCTCGTCCTCCTCATCTACCTGTACCCTTTGGAACACCTGGGGCTACCCTTGGTCGCATTATTATCTCATTACATTCCCATCTCTTACACTGGAAAGCTGACCACCTGTATAATCCACATTTGAACACAGAGCCAGCACACGGGAGGCCTCTTAACGTTGAGTGAAATCGCTTTGCAAACCGCAAAGAGCTTCCAACAGCCCCTTAGCTGTCGTCGCCCAGGGAAGCATTTGTCATTGCAAAACGGAACCAACCTCACCAAAAAGTGAAGCATGCCTGGGTCCAACCTGTAGAGAGAGGCTTGGGGGAAGGAGTGGATGCAGGGCCCATTTTGTGCCACTTGGGAGAGGAGTCGCAAAAGGCCACTGACTGGGGAACCCAGGCCTCTGCAAGCCCAGGCTGTTCGCTCCGTGGTTGGATATAAGTGAAGATCCTCTGAGCCTTCCTCCATCATCTTTCTGCAGTCCACCACTGCAGTGTCACTAAGCCCCCCACCCCACCCCAAAGAGCTGGACAAAGGAGCTCTGCTGGGCTCTTCCTGCCTGCCCCGGGATCTTTGTGTCCTGTGTCTCTGAGATCTCAGTCCCGTCAGCAACTTGCTCTGTGACTTTGCAAAAGTCGTTTAGTTTCTCTGAGCCTTGATTTTCTTACTTTTAAAATGGAGTGCCTCGAGAATCAAAGGAAATAGAGGGAATGTCTTCCCTCTTTCCTCAGCTACAGCTCAGGTGCTTTCCACCCTGGGGGCCCAGAAGAATTACCTGGGAGTTTTAAGAACATTTTAATGTCGCCCTGCGGGTCTTCTAGTCGCTTTCTGACTCAGTGGATCTTGAATGAGACTGGGGCATTGGCTACTTTTTTTTAAGGCTCCCCAGGTGATTCGTGGGTTGAGTAGGGGCTGAGAACCACTGTGAGCTGCTTGGCCAACAACAGGGCCCCTCTGTCCTGGCTGTTGCCACTCTGTCTGGCTTCACTCCAACTCCCACCCCACAACCCTGCCTCTTAGAGGCTGCTAAACATCTTGCAGTTTCCCAGAGGGATCTCTCTCTCTCCCCCACTCTCCCTCCCTCCCTCTCTCCCTTTTTATCTCTCCCTCTCTAGGCCCTCTCCTCTCTCTCCCTCCCGCTCTGTCTCTTTCCCTTCCTTGCTCTCTCTTTCCCCCCTTCCTTTCCCTCTCTCTCTCCCTTTCTCTTTTCCTCTCTATCCTTCCCCTCTCCCTCTCTTTCTCCCTCCCTCTCTCTTTCTCCTCCTCTCCCTCTCTCTTTTTTCCTTTCTCCCTCCCTCTCTCTTTCCCTTTCTCCCTCCCTGTCTCTTACCCTTCCTCCTCCTCTCTCTCTCCCTCTCCCCTTTCTCCCTCTCTCTCTCTCTCCCTTTCTGTCTTCCTCTCTACCCCTCTTCTCTCTCTCTCTCTCCCTTTCTCTGTCCCCCTCCCCGCTCTTTTTCCTTTCCTCCCCCTCTTTCCCTTTCTTCCTCTCTCTCTCTCTCTCTCCCTGGTTTCCCTGCCTTTCTATGTCACCCTGTTCTCCCCACCCAGACTGCTGTCCTCACCCGCCTTGGTCTGGGATCTCCTCCATCTCCTCTAGACTTAGCTGAGCCCTCTCATCCTGGGAGCCTCGCCTGGGCCCTGTGTCTGGGGTTGGCCCCCTCCCTGCTCCTCCATTCCACCTGCTGCCACCTTGAGGCTTCTCTCTGTGTCTCCTAATTGTCAATGTCTCACTGCCCTGGAGGCCCCTACCTGGCTCAGAGCCTGGCATATGGTGGGGGTTCTGAGTTTGCCCGTCCTGCCTTCCTTCCCTCCCTCTCCTTCAGCCCCCTTGGTCTCTTTCAGCAGCGTTCTCAAGTTTTAGCAAGCATCAGAGTCACCTGGAAGGCCTGTCAAAACACACATTGCTGGGCCTCACCCTCAGGGTTTCCTATTCAGTGCAGGGGACGGGTAGATGATTTGCCATTCTAACAATTTCCCAGATGATAATGACCCTACTCTGAGAGTCACCGCTTTAGAGCAGGGTGTTTTAACCTGGGCACTATGGACATGCTGGGCTGGGTAATTCCTCATTGTGTGCCCTGTGCACTGTAGGATGCTGGGCAGCATCCCTGGCCTGTACCCACCAGATGCCAGTAGTAACCCTCCTCCAGATGCGACAACCAGAAATGTCACCAAACCTGACCAGATGTCCCCTATCGGGGGCTAAATCACCCCGACATTGAGAACTGCTGCTCTAGAACTCTTTGTCCCGGGGGTGGAGTGGACTCTGTGGGGACTTGGCAGGGCCAAGTTCTAAATTACTGTCCTCAAGCCCAATCAGGCCAGCCACCTGTTTTTATAAATAAGGGCTCACTGGAACGCACAGCCCCACCCATTCATTGTCATCTTTCTACTGCTTTCTTGCTACAAGGGTGGAACTGAGTAGTTGCGATAGAGGCCATCTGGTCTGCAAAGTCTGAGATATTCATTCTCTGGCTCTTTTCAGAAAATGTCTGCCGACCCCTTTTCAGACGCTGAAGGGGTCTGGTAGAATGTGATGTGGTAGAAGGACCCGGGCAGGCACGCCCACCCACTGTCTTCCATCCAAAGGAAGGGTAGTCCTTCAGGCTGAAGCTAAATAAACGGGGGTCTTCTATCCCCAGGAGTTTCCTATGTGTGTTGGGAAGGCGCTTGCGGGTGGCATTGGGCCCAGCAGCCTGGGGCCAGGCTGGGATTTTCCACCACTGCCCGGTTCACAGCCATGTGGTCACCTCCCTTTGACCAGACCTGGGCTCTGCTTATCTACAGGGTAAACAAGAGCTCTGCACACAGCCCCAAGGAGAAAGAACCAAGTGGGTAGATTCTGAGGCAGACTGGAAGTGTATATGGCATTTGGGTCTGATATGTCAAGGGGAAGACTGGGAAAGAGGGACGTTGGGCAGGTCCATTCATTCATTCGACATTTATGGAGCATCTGCTGAATCCAAGGCACCATATAACAGGCACAGTGAACAAGATACTGTTCTTGTCCTCTTGGATTTTCAGAGTTTGGGGGAAACAAGCAAGGAAGGGATGATTACCCTTGGGGAAGCAGAGGGATGACACAGAGGAGGCACTAACCAGTTCTGCTGGTGCAGTTGGAGAGGGCTATGAAGACAAGGCACTCAATACCTATTTTTGAGCCACGAGTCTACTCTGTTCCCCTCCCTTTAATGGGACAACTTTTAAGCCCCCCAGATTCCTTCCTAAGTGCTCCAGCTATGTATCAGCTCAAGTCTGTGCCCTGATTTTCATACCTCCTTGAGCTAAGCCCTCTGCCCCCATCAAGAAGGCCTCAGCTGGCCCCTCCCCACCCCGTTTCTCTTGTCCAGAGCAGGAGGAATGCATGGCAGGCTGTTTGCAGCCACTGAGTAGTCTAGCAGGGGGGCCCCTTCTGGGGCATTGCTCATGCCTGTCCCCTCTGCCTGGTCACTGTCCTCCTCCTGTCTCCTGGCCCATCTCAATCCAAATCTCACCTTGGCTTTTTCACATCCACACAAATGCTCCCTCATCTGTGATGGGGGATCATAGATTGCGGTTGACTGTGGATCACAGTTGTGCGTGTGTGTGGCTTCAGAACCATGCGGTATTCATCCCTGTACTCTTTATAGCCAAATTTAGCACCATGGTGCCTCGCTGGAAGTTCACTGACTGAGCAAATGAATAAATGGCATCCTAAGGACTTAAGGGAGATGGCAGTGTTGTCTGGTTCTAATTCTTTACATCTATCCAGCACTAAATAGTTGCAGGACACTTTGAAACTTGAGCTCATTAATCATCACCCAGAGGCACAAGGTCAACAGAGTGGGCGTTGCTTATCAATCAGGGTTTTTCACTAGTCCGGGCAGTAAGCAAATGGCTTTCTGTCTTTTTTTTTTTTTTTTTTTTGGTGGTAAGAAAACGGCTTTGGCTAAATTAATCAAAAGGGACAGGTATGGGAAGGGCACAGAGAAGCTCACAGATTTGTGACCTTGACCACTGAAAGAAATTTATTTTACATTTTGCAACTGATTTTACAATACACTTATTTATGTAACAGAAGTAAAATTTAGAAGAATCAATACTGACCTGAGGCCAAGTACGATGGCTCATGCCTGTAATCTAAGCACTTTGGGAGGCTGAGGCGGGAGGATTGCTTGAGCCTAGGAGTTCGAGACCAGCCTGGGCAATATGGTGAAACCCCATCTCTACAAAAAATACAAAAATTAACTGGGTGTGATGGTGTGTACCTGTAATACCAGCTACTGGGGAGGCTGAGGAGGGAGGATCGCTTGGGCTTGGGAGGTCGAGGCTACAGTGAGCTGTGATGGTGACATCCCTCTGCCTGCGTGACAGAGTGAGACTGTCTCAAAACAAACAAATACACAAAAAAATGACCTGAGTTTGAGTTTATATTCTGTATCACTTTTAAAAACTGATGGCCAAGGACCCAGTACACTGATTTCATGATCCACAGAGGGTCATAATCTGTGTGTAAAATATTGGTTTAAAGGATAAAGCCAAAGTCCTTTGGAATGATATCAAAGGTTCCTGGTAACCCAGCCCCTACCCGCCTCCCAGACCTTACCCATTCTTGCCATTTTAGTTTCTTGTAAGTTTCTGTTTCTTTGAATTTGTTTACGTACCCTATGCTGGATCTCATGCTGGTGCCTTTGCTCACCCCATTCCATCTGCCCAAATTGCCATCTTCCTCTTCACCTCCCCTCCCCACTTTCTTCTTCAAGACTCAGCTTATCTCCTTGGAATGGGTCAGAGCCTTCTCCGTACTCTCAGAGGACTCTTGAGTCGGGA